GGCGTCCGGAGGCGGGAGGCGCGGCCTGCGCGGAGCCAAGGGCAGGAGCACCCTGCGGGCAGCAGGGGGTTTGGAGCTGCACGACCAGTCATGGTTTGACCCGCTCTGTCTAACGCCAGTCTGCTTTATTAACTGACTTTGCTCGGTGCTACAGCCTTCGCTGCTTGAAAGCTGCCCATTTACAGGTCTCCTGTAAATATAATTGATCTAGTAGTTGAAGATTGGATAGTTTTGATTTGGTTTTTTATTGTTTGGGGTTTTTTAAGCTAAATAAGAACCACTGAAAGGTCTCAAAGCAGCTTGTCTCACCAGCACTTAAGTACATGACAAACCTGCTTAGTGTGTACATGCACCGCTTCTCATCTACTTTCCATCCAGCAAAGCTCGTGGTGCAGTGGACTTAGGAGTCATTAATGACACCTCGGAGCTACTGAAAAAGCTCGAAGAAATCCTTTATGCCAAGACACATGTTCTCCTTCAGACACAAATCTGAGCCTTCCTTCAAAGGATGCCTCTGCATATTAATTATCCAATTTAATAAATTACATTGCACTTATTTAGCAAAGCAAACACTAAATCTGGAGCGAGCCATTCCTTACGTTGCCATTTCTTTTATATTTGTGATTTTTAAAAATTTAGTAACAAGCAATTAAATACATGCACACTGGCAAGTAATTTATTTAACAGTATAAGCTGGCTTTGAACTAGAGGTACCTGTTCCATTTTTCTGTTATTAAACACAGACTTTAAGATAGCAGCAGTAGCCTGGACTCTAACCTCTCCCACAAGACAGGGCCTCAAAGACACAAATAACAGGGGTTTTTTTCCAGACTAGTTATTATGCCACGTTTCATAAAGTATGATCTTTAAATTTAGAATGTTTTACCCAACTATTTTTTTTTTGCCTACCCATGGCCACAGCTGGTTCCTGTTCTTAGGTGGCATGACGGGCACCTTGGGGTACGTACTCACATTGGTTTTGTTGTATTCATCTTCAAAACACTTCACGTGGAAATAATTTTTCACTTGATTCCACTTTATCCCTTATTTATAAAAAAACAATTTCAAGGGAACTGCCTCTGAATGCGATGCTGCTGCATGACATTCAAACTGCACATCTTGCTCTCCTGCAGTACACTGAAGTATTTTTGCAGTTTATTTAAAAATGTAACAGAACAGAGCAACAACCCAATTCAGACTTGTCCAAAATGATACATTCCCATTTTTGTATGTATTTGCACGTTTTAATTTAAGATCACTTCAGATGTATGGAATGAAAGACTGAATGTTATTGTCACCTTTACCATTGAAAAACATTCATAAGGAAGTTACTGAAACGCAAAGTCTAATATATGTGAAGCTGACAAAATACCAATGTATTGTTAATTACGGGTGTGCTGAGTATGCTGTTTAGTAAGATTTCTGAAACAGTTAAATACAGAGATCGTATGCTCTTTTTTATTGGCATACAGTCACTACCCATATAAGTGCATTTGTGTCAAAAAATAATTATTTATCATATTTACAGGAAGTGACAGAATTGCAGTTGTTGGCAGAGTATATAAAGCTTTTCATACACAATCTTTTTTATTATTAGACAGAGGATATAAAATCTGAACTGAAAATCAAATTCAATGCATCATGGAAACTGTATTCCTCAGTAGCTTTTCTTCAACTTAATTCTAGTTTCTTTCTCTCAAAAGACATCCTTCCATGGCATCTGAACTGTTACGCTACCCACTTTTCAAAAAGTCCTCACTTATACCAAGAGCAAATAGTGTACTGGATCAATACATCACTGCTTGTATCCATACCGATGCAGGTAAGAGTAGCGTGTTGCAAATTATGCCTTATTTCGCTAACAGGTATGAATGCTTACTCTATGTAAACTGACTTAATTGGGGGGGTATGTTATTATAACTGATTATTTATCTGTAACAGTGTCTTGATAAACATGCATGTATTCACCAGCCATTAGCTTGTCTAATAAACATAATTAAAATGTGTTTCTTTGCACTGAAGCAGTTTACTTCTGCATCTGATTTATGAAACAAAATTACAGTGGCAAAAATGCTGCGTAGCCGAATTCCAGTTTTAGTTAAATGGATTAATCTGTTCATGAAGACATGCTTTGCAAGTTGCCTGTACTAGAATATTTTTTTCTTAGAAGACACACACAGCCATCAAAGAGATCTTCCTTTGATGTTAAGCTTTTTATCTTTTCCACAATTGGTAACATACCAGACCTTCTAGGGACAGAGCAATTTTCCTGAATTAATCTTCTGTAACACTCACTGGCCTAGGGGTTTGCTTTACTGGTTGTTTTTGTTTTGTCTCATTTTAATGTGAATTAAATTAAATTAAATTAATTAATTCACACTCTTGTCGCAAACAGCAACAGTTCATTTCATAAAGAATCACAGAATGTATTGGGTTGGAAGGGACCTTGAAAGATCCTCTGGTCCAACCCCAATGCAGTGAGCAGGGACAATGTTACCAGATCAGGCTGCTGAGAGCCCCATCAAGCCTGACCTCGAGTGTCTCCAGGGATGGGAGAAGGAGGTAACTGGTGACCTCTTTCACACTTCATGGTGATATTAAAAAACAAAAAATTAGATACGTTGCTGTCTAATCAGTGTACTGGCTTTACAGGAATCGCAATTCTCAGAGCACTAACAAAAATAACCAGTTTTAATGTTCACTACACATTTAATGCAAGTGCTAAAATGTTACGTTAACCTATTACCAGATTTCTAATGTGTACTGAGTGCCATTTATAAATATATTCCTTAAAAACATCTAAAATGCTGAGTCTTGTTCCTGTAATATCCCTGAACATCCAGAAAGTTCTCTCTGAAGACTGGGTGAGGAATAGAGTTCCAGAGCTTAACACTGTCGCACAAGATCAGTCAGTTGCACACGCTGCTAATGGGGTTCAGGCCATTTAAGTAGAGCTTGTATTACAGTGACCCAGATTTTACACACACAGCATATATTACTTGCTAGTCCAAATAAAAACGTTATTTAAAAATCTATTACACATATCTAAAGGAAAAAATAAGATGTCATGTCTTTTTTCTTCCACACCCCCCATAAATTAATCTCATCATGTCCATGGATAACGTATTTTGACAAGTGTTTTACGTTAAAATCTTTTTCAAGTACTTTAAAAATTTGTTATAGCAAAAAGCTGCGTTTTTCTTTTCTGTCTTTTTTTAAAAGTACTTTCTACAATTTAACACAAAATTCAGGTGCAAGAATTTTAAACAAAAAATGAACTAAAGAGCTTTATTGACATCACAGTACATTCAATAGTAATTTTAAGAACATTACAGCTGAAAGAGAATGGCATGTTTTATATTCTTAATAAGCACTACCGTTCTTGAAAAAATGTAATACAAAGAAATCCTATTAGGTATTTCATTCTGAGCAGCATTTGGAAAAAATACACCTATTTACAGATAAAAAAAGGATTCTGGTTTCACCTACATAGCCACAATGTGCCTCTATAATGAGACAAGCCTTTTATAACTCATGGAATTTGTAAACGTCATAGCACTGGTGCCATAATAATTCCTCAGCGTTTACGACGAAGAGGAGTTGTTGATCTGAAAAATAAAGGAAAAGGGGGAGAAAGTTAATTGGAAAAAACAGAAGACCCCCAAACCCACACACAGTTTAGGCTTAGTAATTAATAGTTTTAAAAGATTTTCCAAAGTTACTTTTGCCCAAGACAAAAAATTTAATAAATACCATACTTTATTAAAAAAACGTTCATATGCCGTACACATGAAGACGAATATCAATTTTTTTTTAAAGTCAGACAAAATACTTAAAAAGTATACTACCTTGATCGCGACTTAGACTTGTGTTTGCGGCTTGCCTTCTTACCAGACCTTTGAGATTTCTCCATGGAGCATGACCGAATATGCTTCGATTTCTTAGCCTTCTTTTCTTTACTGCTCCCAGGTGATTCAGAACTACTCCTCGCGCTAGATTCAGAGCCTGACTGTTTTTTGCTATCTTTGGTAGAAATTTTTTTGCTTTCTTGTCTGGAATCCTGCCTTATTATTTTCACACATATTGTCTCACCACGAGTGAAAGTTCTTTCGCTGTCTCTTTTTCTCTTTAACCTACTGTCGTCATGATTGCCAGCCTTACTTTCTTTTTCCTCTTTTTTGGGCTTATCTTTTCTCTTTTCCTGATCTCTCTCCCTTTCTCTGTTCTTTTTTCTGTCTTTATCTACCCCTCCGCCCTGCTCCTTCTTCCGTTCTTGATCTTTACCCTCACTTTTATGTTTGTGCCTATTTCCAGCGGGGCTTCTACGCTGGTCTTCAGTTTTACGCCTATCCCTGCTTCTGCTGCGGCTCGCCCGGTTGGCTCGCCGGTCTCTTGAACGGCTGCTACTTCTACGTCTATCCCAGCTTCTCTCTCTCGAGGGACTCCGATTTCTTCGCCTTTCCCCTCTGTCAGCACTGCGATTTCTGCTAGATCTCCTCCTTTCCCTTATTTTCTCCCTGCTCCTACTCCTCTCTCTCCTGTTTCTGTGGGAATAACTCCTGCTTCTGCTGCGCCTAACTTTATGTGAAGGTGTCCTACTGCGACTGTGTCGCTTCTTCCTTTTAGGAGAGGAAGAACGTGAAGAGCTGCGACTACTACCTGAGCTGCTGCTATAGGAGGAACTGGATACTGTGCTGCTACTGCTACTGCTTCTGCTATTGCTGCTGCTGCTACCGCTGCTTGAGCTTCTCGACCCACTCCTTCCTGCCCTCTCTTTACCCTCTTTTTTGAGTTCTGTATCAGGGGCGATTGCATTTGGAGATCTTTTCTTTTCATGAACCATATCTGCTTCGAGTTCTTTTGCCTCCTGTGATGCCAAGTTACTGTTTTGTTCTTTGTTGATGAATTCATTCATCTCTTTTGAAACTTTTTCATTTTGTAGCTTTTCTTCTGGAAAAAATACAAAAGAAAAATACAATTAATTTGGAGTAATATGTCAGTAATTTCCACACTGTTACTTTTGGCAAAACCAGATTTCCAAGTACCTTTCATAATACTTTTAATTAATATGCTGACTGCCATCACACCAACTACCTACCAAACAACTTGTTATTTTAGTTTTTGTTTGGTTTTTTTTTTTATAGTTCTGGTAAAGTTGTCCTCCTGGTTTAGAAAAAGTGCACAACTGAGACACTTTTAGAAGTTCCTGATGTTATTTCATGTTTCAGTGGTTTAAGACACAGTTCTCAAACAAATGTCCTGGAGCACCAGAACTCCCCAGTTCACCTGCACACACGTACTTATCCTCCTGCAACCTTCTGACACACCTGATTCTCCCCTTCTCCCTCCTGCTGTACCTACGCTTCCTGCCCTCCTTCCAGCCCCGTTCATCTGGATTCTGAGTGACCACTGGCTGGTCTGGAGAAGCTGTATCTCCCACCCAGTGCATGGGTGGCCTCTCAACCTCAGAACAATGTTGGCTGTACCTGTGTGTTTTGTAGCCGTCATCACCCAAAAAAGTCCAAGAGAAGTACCTTCTGAAGTAGTGATGCATGGGGGTTTTTTTTTGAAAGAAATACCAGGTTTATGGTGTTTTCCATGGATAACTTAGGTTAGTCCTAAATGCTAACCCGTACAAGCAATTTATGTTTCTCCTTATTTTTAACAGGTTTTATAGCCAATGAATTCCAAGGAAGAGAGGAACAGCGTAAGAAGGAGACTTGTAGATAATTCTTTGCTTAAGACTTAGCTCAAAAGTTAAGACCGCAGCATTTAATAGAGACAGATGGTGAAGCTCTTAGAAAACAAAGAGGTAATGTCAGTTGAGATTATAGGTAAGCTTGGTAGTCAGCAAATATTTAAAACATGGTAAGACAACAGGGCATTTAAAAATACATTTCCTGAAAGTAACAATCAGTATCAGGCCAAGATTTTCCTGTAGAAAAATAAAGGAATTCAGACCCTCAGAGCATTTTCCAGAGGTTTCTGGCTTCAAAGAAATTTTACTTATTTCTATTCAACCTAGGATCATCTGCATCACTGGCCAAATTTATCTCCCCTTCTCATTTTAAACTGAACCCAGAAAAAATAGCTGACATGCAAGATTTTTAGCCAAAAAATGGCCTTTTGATGTGGGCCATCAGTTTCTGAATTAACTTCGGGAACAAAACTGCATCTGGAAACTCAGAGTGATCCAAATGGCAACTGAAGGTCAAATCTAACCCAGAAAACAACTCCATCTGGTCCACAAGTTATTAGGCAATGCAGGCAGAAGCAGTATATGTTACAACATGCTGTGTTGTACATAAGAAGTCTTCTGCCTTCCCCAAAAAGCTGCTACAGATGAGACCATGCGTTTCGTATTCTTTGGTATTTGGATGTATAGCATCAGCTGGTTTAGTTTACTATTTCTGTAAATAGCCCCATGGAGGTGTCCCCAAACTGACATCTGGCTTCCTGCACTAGGAAAACAGAGGTCATAGGCCACCACTCAATCACTTTCCATATGCCCATCTTCTTATGCATAAATCTTAAAACACTCAGAGACAGATGGGAATATTAAGGAAACCAGAAGTTTAGATTATTCAGTCTTTTATTAAGTGATCCATATGTCTTATTTCTAGGCCTTTAAAATAAAAGGAAGAAATCATCCATCTTAAAATAAGAAAAACAAAAGTATGCTATATTAATTAGCACTTTCATTCTCCTCCAGCTTTTGAATTTAGATCATGACTTCTTACCTTGTATTAGTCTGCTGATCTGGACTGCTCTTCAGCAGTGCAAGGTGACTGTGACACCCTTTTGACCTACATTACTGGTACAAAAGGAGAACCCTTGCAACCCTCTGAAAAGCAGATCACAGATTTCTTTCTTTAATTTATTTTAAATCAAGCCTGACAGCTTCTCAGAGGCTAAGTGCGAACTGACTGGGTTCAATAATCTTTCCCCAGTATGAGATATGAAAACCTCAGTTATGAAGATGCAACATATGGAAGGAAACCTCAACTACAACTGAGAACGACAAGTTCAAAGAAACTGCAGCCTCCCACTGGGCACTGCAAAAGGTGCACTGCACAGGATCACATAACAGAAAAGGAAGTTTTTCAGATGACGTGAAATGTGCTTCTAGGTATATGAACTATGAATATATGAATATTCAACTTTAAGGAATCAAGTTCATATAAGCTGCAGTCTGGTGCAGAAAGATGAAATTTACCCCCCAGTCACAACTGAGATACTAATGATTTTTATAAAACACATTATACACACAGACACATTTTTATAAAGTAACACTATTACTTATATAGCACTATATATATATATATATACACATATCTATATATATATCTATATATATGGCTATATGCATCATGTCTACTCTTTTAACACCAAAAGTAAAATGGTTTATGGAAAATACTACATGGGTATTTTTTTTCTTATTAGGAAAACAAGCAGCAAAGCTCATTTTGATCAAGTAGCTCAAACCTCGTTTGTTAAAACTTTTTAATTAAGAATATTATTTCTAAATTTGGCTTCACATTTTTTGGTTTCAAATGCCTTTTCCCTCCCACCAATTTACATATACTAAGCAGTAAACTCAGTAGACAGCAGCAGAGTAAGAAGACAATACATAATTTACCTTCTAGCTGTTTTTCTAGTAGTAGTTGCTGTTCTCTCTCTTTTCTCCAAAACGCTTCCTGTTTTTGCCTGATTCTGTGCCGTAATTCCTCATCATCAGTATCAGATGACTCAGAGCCTCTGTCGCTCCTCTCATCTTCACTGTCTCCTGATCCATAACCACCCAGTCCACCTGCGTGCATAAAGTCCAGTCTATCACGAGGAAAGGTTAAGCTCTGTTCTTAATATTTCTGTGGGGCAAAGAGGAGAGTAACATTGCCCTTCCTTCACTTCCTCTTCTCTGAAGAAGTCACTTTATTCTGGTAAGTGCCAGTGGTGTTTGACTGGTGTGATCAAGGCCCCCATATCTGCATTGATGCTCACTGTCTGGTTCTACTCCTTCTGGACAGCTCGTCTATTTTCCGCAAGCAACCACTGTGATCACGGTACTTTTTCCATCGTATGGAAAGGCAAAAAAAGCTCCCTGCAGAGATCGTAACAGTGCCTGCCTCTGCATCAGCAACCGGACAGAAAATGCCTGGGACCTTTCCCAGAAGACATCTCTGAAATGACTTCAGCCGCCTCCGTAGTCCAAGGCTACAGAAATTCTGAATGCCATATCAATTTTCCTATACTGATTCAGAAAACACTGCACTTTGACAGGTATGGAGATGGAACAGAAATGGACATTCTTCTCCCCTAGAGACATTAATAACTACTGGACTGATAAGAAAGATAAAGTCACTTTGAACATCTGACATGGAGATATTTTACTTTATTTCAGTCTGAGGTTCTTACGATCTTTATTGCGTTAGGTTTAAAACCCGTGAACACTTGTGATGATAACATTCATTCTAATTCACTGGAATTCCACATAACGAACACATAACTGATCACTGACACCGCTGTGGTATGTTTCAGATGATAAAAAGCATGTTGGGAAAAGCATGTTGTGTCTCAAGCTGGAATTTCAATCTCTTTTTCCTGTGTTGTTTCTGGTAATGTATGATATGGGAGCCTCTGTGCTTATGTAGCTTTTCAATAAAATAATAATTCCAAAGATTACAGTATTTTTATTTATAGACTTTCACATTACTCTTCTATCAACTTTCCCTTCTTGTTTGGATGGATCAAAATAGGAGAAAAACACAAAACAGTATTCTCTGAAGACTGTGGTGTGCTGCTGAAACAATCATACTTTGAAAAGTAAATTTATCTATGCATTCTTTGGCTTTTGTGTATTTTCAAAATTAGGGCAAGATTCTCATACACTAACTCACACTGACTCCAAAAACCATCCCACTTATATCAGTAGGATCACCTGTGAAACAAACAAAGGTGCTGATAAAGTTATTGGAAAGCGACCCATACTCCTCGGCAATTAAAATCTAGTTTCAAAATGCAATTTCTAGAAACGCAAGGCAAGAGTGAAACTCCCCCTTTAAGCCCTCTCAAAAATAAGGAACATACTTACCGAGTCCAGTGAGAGAAGCCAGTGCACTGGACTGTGCCAGCTGTTTTGCAGGAGCTTTGTATCACATCAACAACAGGAACAACATGTTAACACAAATAGCCACGATTTCATAGTCATGAGTCTATGGTATTGTTAAATCTACTACTATTGCTGCTCTTTGGAGGGAGAGAAGAAACATTAAAAACGCATCATCCATTTAAAACCAATTCTAGATTTTCCGACCACGAAGATTTATAATTTAACTGCAAATTAATAGTGAACAGAAAAAAAGTAACAAAGATATACTCATAAATCACTTTCCAAGTTACAGCATCTGCACATAATTCTCAAGTTTCAGTAGTTAACATATTTTGATTAACTCAGTTATGTTAAAAAAAATCTGTTACGTAAGTACAATACATGTTAATAGTGACAGCAAATGAATTACTAATTGAGGACTCAGAGTTTGTCTCTTTTTACTTCTGAACAGCTAAGAACTTCAGATAAAGATGACAGTATTAAGAAACAGCTACAACTCAAGAGCCAGTGACACACAGGTATAATTTTAACTAAATAAATGAATTATATGAAAGAAATGGAATAAATGGAATAACTGAAGTAACTCACAATTACACTGCACAGGACAACAGTACACAATTACTGGATTTGAACTCTACCAAGTTGGATGCATTATACTGGAATTGTTCTTGGGGGATAACTATGGAGGTTAAATGTTCTAGAGACATGCAAAAATAGAATATTCACAGAAGAAACTAAACAAAAAAAGCATACCTTTAGTTGCTTTACGGTGAACATCTTTGGCCACGTAATAAATTTCTTCATTTGTGACATCTAAGAGAATCTCGGTCAGCAGCATTTTTGTCAGCATCATCTGAAGAAAATTGTATACACAATTAAAGGCTAAAACCTCTTGAATATGATGCATTCAAATTATATCCATAGAGCTTTACTTCTTTTGATGGCTATGGAAGTACTCTCCTGTTTTGTTTAATGGTTTCTTTCAACAGAAAAAAATCTTCAGTCTGAAGTTGTTTAAATTTGCTGTGATACATGAACCTTCAGACCAGTTTGTATTTTGACTGTGAACTGTATCCACATTTATTACACACAGCTCTCCATCCAGGGCACTGATTCCTTGCCAAAGATGATACAACAAATGAATACATAAATTAAAAATGTACTTAGGCTGATCCCATTTATTCTTTTGAAAAATAAAGAGCACAGTCCAGTATACTGTCCAGTATGCTGCCTCACAGCCCTCAGATCATCAGAGGTTACTTATACAGGACTTTATTATTAAATATTTACTACAAAAATGGAAAAAGCTGGTACCTAGCTCTCCAAGCTGCTCAGTCTGGCCATGCACTTTATGTTCATCAACTTTTTAGAAAGCAGGGCCTTCACTAACAAGGTTTCAATTGTACAATTAGCACACAACTACAATGTCAAAACATGAAGTTTCTACAGAGACAGTGCAATTGTTCCTGGTCTAGGACTTAAGTTTCTAGCGCTTCCTTCCAAGAATGCATTTCTTAAATTCCCTTTCACAGGAACTGAGGTTGAAGCACAGATTTCAGACAGGGGCACTGAATCATTAGAAGTTTTCAGGAATCTGACAAGTTAAGCCGAGCCACAGAATTAGTAACAACCAATGTAAAGATTACAGTCACTACATGATTTCACTAAATATGAGTTATATAATCTATACCCTTGTTTATATGAGAAAGACAGCATTATAAAAAAGAGACACAAAAATATAACCTTGCTTTACGGTATGGTATGTATCATACCTCTATTGACAGCATCAGGCAAAGTGTTTTACTTTGCTATGTCTGAAAAATATGAGCAAATAAGACAGAAATACTTAGTGAGAACTACATTATTAATACCATTTGATACTCCTTTTCTTCTTCTGTCATTTCTGGTTCACTTTGCTCCTCTTGAGGAGCTGGGGATGGACTCCTGCTGATTTTCCCAACGCTTACAGCTTCTGTGTTTTCAGCATCTTCATCTTCCTCATCACTGTCCTACAAGAAGAGCATCATACAGTTCAGGAAAAACTTAGATGCAAATCTCACTAGTTTCTATTTGTGATAGTCAACTTGATTTACTTTGTACAGAAATCTGTATTAGAGTTACCATAAAACTCTTTAATTCTTTCCTCCCTCCTAATAAACATGCAAGTACCTCTCCACCCACATGAGGTAAGTAAATACACAGTTGTCAGTTTACTGCCAGAGAGGTACTCAGAACTGCAAAAAATGAGATAACTGCTAAAGTGAATGGAGCTAAATCCAGTTGGCGACC